ACTGGGCGTGTGTGCGTGCGTGCCCAAGATCCTGAGAGGAGAATGGAGGAGAAGGGATTGCGGCGTGACCATCCCCCCTGGGAGGTGATTTCTCTTTCTGTCTCTATATCTCTCTCTGTCTCTCTGGCGAGCACATGCACCCTATGGCAAAAACCTCTCCAAAAAAAAAAAAAAAATATATATATATATAAGAGACGAGAAATGGAAAATTATTTGTTGACGAGAACATGTATGATTAAGCCAATGTACAGTGTATTCTGGATGGGAAATCACATTTTGTATGTTGTGATGATGTTCAGTGAATAAATGTAAAATAAATAAATTTAAAACAAAAACAAACAAAAACACTAGGGAAAAATAAATAGCTTTGGGTCATCACATGGCAGGGAGGTTAAGGCCCTGGATTCCATATAGCTGACTGGGTGGTTCAAATTCTAAACCTGCAGCTTGAGAAATCCCACGTGCCTGTGCATGAGTGCCCAAAAATCTTGAGAATGGAGAAGGGATTGCCGTGTGGCTGTCCACATTTTGGCACTTGCACGTGTCATATAGCAAAAAAAAAAAAAAAAAGAATAATAAATAGCCTTAACCATATTAACTTCCATCCAAATATTACTGTTCCGTAATTCTAGTTCTTTAGTTCAGTGACCATGAACTTCTCAACATTACTTTGAATTTCTTTGTATATATTGACATATGAAATATGACTACACATTCTGTGATTTGCAGTGTAGAGAATGAGCTAAGCGCTGCTTGTTTTCACTAGCACTACGAAAAAAAGGACACGATTATAGATACTAAAACAAAATTAAGATCTCGGGCTTTGACTGCTGCAAGTTTATCTCTCTCCAAAATTAACCAAATGCTCAAAAATAGTTAGAACTCAAGAAATATTTCTGGAATTGAAAAAAAAATATTAGAACATGGTTATTAAAAGCTGGGTTGGCTTCGAATGTCGTGTTACAAAGCGAAAGCCCCAAGATCTTTTTTTTGAGACGTAAATTATGTTCTTCGGTATTTCAAGGAAAATATATCTTTGATAACACGTCCCTCAAATCAATATTTTTAGTAAACATAGTCTTTCAGTAGAGACTGGGTGAGAACTATTTTATTGCTGGCCAAAACAAAAAATGCCGGTTTTACAGATAATCCGAACCTCGCCTATTAAAAGAACAGGGACCCGAGCCGTTGTGGTGCAGAAACCTGGGTGGGAAGAAATCTCGCGGTAGGCTCACAAAACCAGTTTTCGCGATATTTTGGCTTGCCCTCTTCCTGTCAGTCTTTCGCAAGAACACGGTTAATCTCGCGATCTTTGCGAAGTTCCGTTGAGGAAGATGGCGGCGGCCGCGAGCACCCTTCTCTTCTTGCCGCCGGGGACTTCAGACTGAGCCTTCCTGGGAAAAGTGGGGAACATTGGTGCCCTGCGTCCCGGGAGCCCAAGGCAGCTGGGTTCCCCGTTGTTTGTGGGGAAGGGCATATCTTCTTGTGGCGGATCCAAGTCCTCCCCGCCGTCAGGATGAAGGCTCAGGGGGAAACCGAGGGTGAGTGACTGAGGAGGAAAGGAGGGGACGGGACACTGCTTGGGGCGAGCCGATCTGTGCGAGGACGTGGTCGCCGATGTCCTACGGGAGCAGCGTTCCGGAGGGCACCGAGTCTGAAAGGAGGAATACGTGCGTGTTAGATTCTGACTGTGCCTTTCTCGGTGGTGATAGCCCTCGACTTTTGGGTGATGGGGACTCTCAACTTATGTGAAGATTCCCTGCTCAACTAGGGACAGTTGCCTTAGAGCATTAATTTTAGCCTCAAGTGGTGGGAGACTGGGAGAGTGGTCTAAAATTTGCTTATATCTCATCCCAGAAGAGATGTCTGATTAACAACAGAACGATAGTACAAAACTGTGTAACACTACTGGAGGATATTTAGGAGTGAAGTGAAATGCCTAGGTTCCTTTTTTTAAAACAATTATTTTACTTAATTTTATTCATTATATTATTGTTATTATTTTAATTTGACCAGAAAGAGACAGAAAGTGAGAAAGCAAGCAGGCCCGGTTCAGGACTCAAACTGCTGTTAGCCATGTGGGGAGTCCAGCACCCTTAACCACTTCTCCACCTAGCCAGCCCCTGCCCTTCTTCATATTAAAAGCCTGCAGTTTCCCAGAATATCACAGTGTTTAGTGCTATTGTCTATTTTTGAACTAAACTAAATTTCATTCTGGCAATGGCCAAATTAACTCAGAACTGTTGAAGAACAGCTTTATTTTGTGGAGCTTTATCAGATGGTCTAAAGTTCCACACACCAATATAAATGCTTCCTTAGCATTTAGGGGATAGTTCTACTTATACTCTCTAGTTTAGGGCCATTCCTTAATCATCTTTGTATAGTTTCTACTTGAAAGCAGAAATTGGCAAAAATTGAGGCTGGCAGGTGGTGTGGTGGTTAAGAGCGCTGGACTCTCACTTGGCCGACTGTGGTTCGAGTCCTGGACATGGCGGCTTGCCTTCTTGTTTTTTCTCTCCCTGTCTCTCTCTCACTCTGTCTTTCTCTGGTAAAATAAAAATAAATAAATAAAGTTAAATAAAATAATTCTTTAAAAAATACTATTAAAAAAAATTGGCAGAAATGTATCTAGAAGTATAGACAGGTTGAAATGGCCTAAAAATCAGCTTCACAGAAGACAAGGGCATTGAAGGAAGGAGTTTGAATTTTGCTTTAGAAGAGCTTCTCCTTGCTGTCTTAACTGATTGACCTTATATTCTTCCATCAACTGTCACTTATTCTGTAACACCCCCTATCCTGCAATTGATCATGAACTTTTCTTCCTTTGGATGTCTTTGTTTTTTTCTTTTAATTTGTCAAAGGATGCATGTACTCACTAGACAGACAAAGAGAAAGGGAGAAAGTGTCCCCCATGGAGAATGGTCATGCCACAGTCCTTTCTCCTCTTATTATCCCCTCCTTTCTGGATTTTGGGCAGACATTCACATTCACTCAGAGTGTCTTTCAAATCACTGGGCTTGATTCAGACTGTGTGGTCAGCCATGCGGGATTCAGCTTGCTTAACCACCAGACCATTAGCTGGCCACATTCTTAGAATTTAAGTAGTAATGTGTTTCTGCTTTTAAGTGCATTTCTCACTTTATGTTGTATGACATTTTCACATGAACTTATCTACACTTCCTCACAGATGTAATCTCAAAAATATGTGGTTTTAATCTCCAGTGTTCTGTGGCACAGTTACGTGCTCACATCGGGTAGTTCAAGAATTAGAAGGAGGTTGGAAAGTTTAGGAAGTTCATTTATATATCTAGTCCAAGAACCAATCTTATTTATTTATTTATTTATCTATTTGTCTATCTATCTATCTATCTATGCATTTGTTATAGTTTTCAAGCTATTGGGTCCAGGACTTGAACCATGTCCACAATGTGGGGGGTCCAGCGCCTTAACACTGTGCCACCAGCTAGCCCTTTTTTTTTTTTTTTTAAGACTTTTTGCTATAGGGGCCTTGTGCTCATGAAAGAGAGACAGAGACAGAGAAGGAAAGTGAGAAATCATTCCCTAGAGGGAATGGCCAGGGCAATCCCTTCTCCTCCATTTTCCTCTCAGGATTTTAGACATGTACACACATGTGCCTGGCATGATTTTCATGCTGCCAAGTTTGGGACTCAAATCATGGTCAGCCAAGTGGGAGGCTAGCACCTTGACCTGCCACCTACTGGCCCCCATGCTTTTATTTATTTATTTTTATTACTTTATACTTTAAGTATTATATTTTAAGGTTTTAGCCATAGGGTGTGTGCACTTGCTGGAGTCATACAGAGACAGTGAGAGGAAAAGTGCGCAATCACCTCCGGGGGGGTTGACCATGCTGCACTGCCTTCTCCATTCTCCTCTTGGGATCTTGGGCATGCACACACACGCACCTGCATGATTTTCAGGCCACTGGGTCTAGGACTTGAACTGTGGTTGGCCATGTGGGAGTCCAGCAATGTAACCACTTCGCCATCTGCTGGCCCCACAGGCTTCTTTTTTTTGGGAGAGGTTTTTGCTATAGGGTGGTTGCGCTTGCCAGACAGACAGAGAGAGACAGAGAGATAGAAAGCGAGAAATCACCCCCCAGGGGGGATGGCCACGCTGCAATTCCTTCTCCATTCTCCTTTCAGGATCTTGGGTACACACGCACATGCGCCCGGCGTGAGTTTAAGCCACCGGGTCAGGGACACAAACCGCGGTCGACTACGTGGGAGTCCTGCGACATAGTCATTACGCTAGCTGCTGGTCCCCCCACAGGCTTCTTAAAAAGTTATTACAAAAAATTGGGCCTGCTCTTGGTGTGGTGGTTAAGGGTGCTGGACTCCCATATGATTGACTGTGATTCAAGTCCTGGACCTGGTGGCTTGCTTTCTCACTTTCCCCCTCTCTCTTGCTCTGTCCTCTGGTCATATTTAAATAAATAAATAAATAAAGTTAAATAAAATGATTCTTTAAAAAAAACTTTAAGGAAGTCTGTATTGGTACATTAAAATTACTGGGGCCAGCAGATGGTGTGTGGTTAAGGTGCTGGACTCCTGCATGTCCAACTGTGGTTCAAATCCTAGACCTGATGGCTTGCTTTCTCACTGTCTCTTTCTCTGTCTCTTTTTAGTTAAACTAAAAAATAATAATAAAATTTAAAAAAGTAATTCTTGGAGAGGTGTTTTTTTTTTTTGCTGTAGGGTACGTGTGCTCGCCAGAAAGACAGAGAGAGACAGTGACAGAAAGTGAGAAATCACCACCCCTGGAGGGATGGCCATGCCACAGTCCCTTCTCCTCCATTCTCTTCTTGTGATCTTGGGCATGCACGCACATATACCCGGCGTGAGTTTAAACCACGGGGTCCGGGACTCTGAACCACAGTTGACTACATGGGAGTCCAGCGACATAGCCATTACGCTAACTTGAACCATAGTCGGCTATAGGGGAGTCTATCACCTTTAAACTCCACACCACCTGCTGGCTCCTGTTACTATTATTTTTTAATTTGAACACAGAGAGAGAAAGGGAAAGCAAGAAAGAAAGCTGCTAGATCTGGGACTTGAACCATAGTCAGTCATGTGAGAATCTAGCTCCTTTAACCACTATGCCACCTTCCAGCCCCAATAAAGTAATTAAAAAAATAAAAAATGCTTTGAATAGAGGAGTCAACAGGTGGTGTGGTGGTTAAGGCAGTAGACTTGCACATGCTCGCCTTTTCACTTTTCCTCTCTCTCTGTGGTGAGCATACATGCCCTATAGCCAATTAAAAAATAATAATAACAAATAAATAATAAAAGAAAAAGTTTGTGGGGCTAGGAGGTAGCATGGTGGTTGAAGATGCTGGACTCCCACACCACATCATGGTTTGGGTCTCAGACCTGGCAACTTGGTCTCTCACTCTCTCTCTCTCTCTCTCTGGTCAAATTAAAAGTTTGAATGAAAAGCAATACTGAGGCCAGTTATTATTTTGGTAGTTAAGGTACATATGGCTAACTATGTGGTTTGAGTCCCAGACCCACCAACTTGAAAAACATGCAGGGTGCATGTGTATGCATGCCCAAATCATGAAAGGAAAAATGGAAGAGAAGGAATTGCATTGTGACCATTCTGCCTGGAGGATGCCTTTTCACTTTCCTTCTTTCTCTCTCTGGCTAGTGCACGTCCACTCTAGCAAATGAGAAGAAAAAAAGAGAAAGAAGTACTCTTCTGTGGTGTCCCTTACATGAGATCCATCATTTACATGTCCTCTCACCATTGAAAATATCTTCTTTATATGTTTTTTAAAGTAAATGATACTAAAATATACTTTAACTGAATTCTTACTGAGATGAAGATTTAGAAGAAAAGTTCGGGAAGGTATTCCTAGAAGTTTCTAATGATGTTCTCTGATTTATATCGTAGAGTCGGAAAAGCTGAGTAAGATGAGTTCTCTCTTGGAACGACTCCATGCAAAATTTAACCAAAATAGACCTTGGAGTGAAACCATTAAGCTTGTGCGTCAAGTCATGGTGAGGATTGTGGTGAAGTGGGTGAAGTGCTGGGCTTAGATAATTATTTAATAAGCTAAGCTTGTGTGGATTTGTTCAAACTAGTTACAATAGTATGTCTTATTAGTCATGGGTTATAGTACACTAAGGTACTTCAAGCAAAGGTGCTAAGAAACACAGCTATAAACACGTTTGCTAGACTGCTATAAAGAGACATTGTTTACCTCCTGTCAAGGTCCTTGATTTTTAATATGACATACTTTAGTTATATCTATACTTGTAGAGTTTGATTCATTGTTTATACAGGTGAATTCTGAGTTCACCTGTTGACTGTCAAGTTTCTTTTTTTTTTTTAATAATATTGCTACTTCCTCATTCATTTACCATTATGGGGATCTCTTAGCCAGTTAATTGGAAGATGGAGAATTGGAGGGGTGGTCTCAATTTGTTATTGCATTGCTAACAGTTACCTGAGACTAGGAGATTTATAAACAAGTACAGGTTTATTAACTCACAATTCTCGTGACTGTAAAGTCCAAAGGCATGGTGGTTAAGGCACCTGGATCTTGCATAGCCGGCTATGTGGTTTGAGTCCTGGACCCAGTAACTTGGGAAAAACATTAGGTGCATGTGCCTTTGTGCACAAAATCTCTAAATGAGAAATAAAGGGGAAGGGATTTTGGGATGGCCTTTCCCCATGAGGGGGTGCTTTCTTACTTTCCCTCCTTCTTCGTCTTTCTCTGACAAATGCAAGTGCCCTCTACCAACATTAAAGAAAAGAAAGAAAGAAGTTTCAGCAGGATAGGCCCAGCATCAAACTGGCCTATAATACTGCTGGCAGAGCATACGGGATTACAGGGTGTGCAGAGAGAAAGCTCATGTGTGTGAAAGAGCTTCTGATAACTTTCTCTTACTTGTCAGAGGGTGTATGTGTTCACCAAAGAGAGAGAAAGTGAGAAAGCCCCCCCAATGGGAATGGGTCACACCGCAGTCCCCTTCTCTTACCTCTTCCTCCTTTTAGGATTTTGGGCTCCTGTGTATACATGTCCAGTGTATTTTTTAAATCACCAAGTTTGGAATACAAACCACGTCAGCTAAGTGGGATCCAGCTACTTAACCACCATGCCACCAGCTTAGCTCTCTCTTTCATAACAACCAGCTCTTACAAGATCTAGCCTCACGGGACCAGCAGGTGGCGTGGTGGTTAAGTCGCTGGACACTCCCACATGGCCGACCACGGTTCAAGTCTCGTACCTGGTGGCTTCCTTTCTCACTTTCCCGCTCTCTCTCTCTGTGTCTTTCTCTGGTCAAATTAAAATAAAATGAAAGGAATAAATAAAATAAAAATAAATAATTCTTTAAAAAAAAAGATCTAGCCTCATGAGACTTAAAACTCAGCAGGTCTCACGAGACATCACTAATTCACAAGATCATTGCTTCTGTAAATGTTGTCACCATGATCTAGTCATAGCCCATTGGATTTGCCACCTCCCACCATCAAATTCTAAAACATGATGGGGCCGGCCGGTGGTGTGGTTGTTAAGGGTGCTGGACTCCCACATGGCTGAATATAGTTTGAGCCCCTGACCTGTTGGCTTGCTCTTTCTCTCTGTCTCTCTTTGGTCAAAATTGAAAAATAGTGATAATAATTCTTTAAAAAAATTTCTAAAACATGAAACTTTTTAAAAAAAATAATTATTTTTGATTTTATTTATTCATTCATTTATTTTTAAAAAATAATTATTTATTTTATTTTTATTTATTCATTCATTGATTTTTTTTTTTTTTAATCTGACCAGAGAGAGACAGAGGGTGAGAGTGTGGAGCGAGGAAGTGAGAAAGAAAGCTACCAGATTCAGGACTTGAAC